ACGGCAGCACAAGACAAACTAAGTTAGGATCTCCAGGGGACACTGGCAATACCTTGAGATATTTTTGGTTGTCACAACTGGGGGCACAGGAGGTGCTACTGAGGCCAGGGATGCTGCTAAATATTCTGTAATCCATAAAGGACAATCCCTACAATGGAGAGTCTAACACTTCCCTAATCTATATTTATATCCAGACAGGGAAATGAAACCCAATGCATACGGCACGATGTCTGACAATTCCAACCCAGGGCCTCCCTTTATGAAGAAGCTAACTGAACCCTAAGTCACAGCCATCAGCTTTGGTCTCAGACAATGCTGGGCATTTGACTTTCAAATTATTTTAAAAGCATTAATTAGCACAACTTTTACTGTCTTACCTTTAAAAAGAGAAGTACTTTTTTTAAAAGCAGAAATTAAAAATCTGAGAAACAATGTCTGTGTTTTCTTCTACAGAGTAGAGGCCACTACTCCCCTCAACAGCAGTTTCTGCTATTCAGATGAGAAGCATGGAGACTCCGCGAGAAGGACTGTACTGCAAGAGGACTGTACGTGAAATGCAGGAAGGCCCTCACTCTGAATCCAGACAGAAGGTCTGTGTTGGGGGGCTCTGATAAAAGGTGCTTCCTAGAAGAATGGGGGACTCCTGGGACATTGAGCATGAGAGTTTAAGGACATGTCAGATGTGCGAGGCAACAAAGGGTGAGTGGGTAATATGTTTCATATTTGATGTACCCAAATCCCTAGGCCCAAGAATGAGTGAACTTTGGGAAGGAAAAGTGAGCAAAAATGCCCAGCATGGAAAAGCAGGGTCAAAGGGTTCTCAGCAGATCATGAGACTGAGGAAAAACCAGCAGGGAGTTGACTTTTTTTCTTCTATTTAAACATGTGGTGAAAGCCGGGCGTGGTGGCTCATGCCTATAATCCCAGCACTCGGGAGGCTGTGGCAGGAGGATCGTTGCAAGTTTGAGACCAGCCTGGGCTACAAAGTGAGTTCAAGGTCAGCCTGAACTGCATAGAGACCCTGTCTCAAAAAGACAAAAAATAAATAAATAAATAAATGAAACGTGGTGAGAAAGTAATCATGAGCTTAGACTGAGAGTAACAACAGCCTGCTCAGTCATTAACCAGAGCTACAAAGTGAAGAGGCAATCGTTACTCCCAAGCATGTCCTACACCTATAAAGTGTAACAACCCTTTTCTTTGAGTGACCAAAGCTTTCTTGTTTCCCAAGAAAGCCTGATCCCCTAAAACCAAAGACCAGCAGAAACTTTACTTTGTAAAAATCGTATCAATAAACAGAGTGAAACATTATAATACTGCGTGAAGGTGCTAAGTGACTTTGACTCAGAGAAGCACGAAGCACAGAGCTTCACGTGAGGTTTTCCAGACACAGGGCAGTTTATCAGGACCTGGATCCATCTGACAGTGCAGACCTGCTGTTGACCCCTTGCCACACAGCCTTGCCTTGCTTTGAGTCTACCAAAACACTGCTTCATTGAAGTCTCATGCTGCCGCAAAATTTATAATTACTTCTTCCTTTTTGTTTGATGTGATATCCACAGGTCCCCTCTTACGCAGTATCAATAGAGTAAGCCACTAAACTTGACTTGGACTTCCTCAGATTATTACTAGATTTTGTGGGCCCCCAGGAAATTCTTTCCAGGTTCTTGGTGTCCTGAACAAAGAACTGGACGACACACATGAAAGGTAGTGAAGATATACATTTATCAAAGGTGGAAATGACACTCTGCAGAGTGACAGCAGGCCAGTGAACAGATTTACAGTGGCCACAAGGATAGCGCTTTTCTATCTGGAATTTCTAGACTGGATTCTTCCTCCTGCAAATAAATAATTTGGGATAGTTGTCCTACCAAAATCTCACATGGCCTGATGCCAGATTCAAATTGTCATATGGAGAACTTGCTTGGTTTCATGCCAGACGTAAATGAAGAGTTGAGAATAGCACTTTGCTGACTGGTCCCACATACAGTTCTCAGGAGGTGTAGAGTCATCCCAGATTCTGTGCTCTGCAGATGTGCCCTGGGTCTCATGACTTCGACAGATAATGCTCACTTGCTTGATCAGTTTTGCCCCAGCTCTAATCTCCTGACAACTATAGGTTTGTCCACGGTGGTCTTAGGGAGACTGTACTGAAGCAGTGGCTAGAAAGAATAAAGGGCCTGTCAAGCCCCAAGGATCACTGACAATCACTGCTAACTATTCAAAAACCCAAAGATCCATAAACCCTGTCTCAAAAAAATGGTGTCCTTTCCTTTTGGTTGACTATATCCTTGGAAAAGAACCTATGGCTAGTACCTTTGAAAAGACTCTAATCCAACTCCGAGCCCAATAATCATAAATTAAATTACTCTCTACTTGCTCAACTGCCATTTATTATATGCCCACAGAATCTATAGCACTTCTCTAGGCTATATTGTAGGGATGATGCGTAGAAAACCTTGACCTAGAAGGACCAATAATCTAATGATAGCAACAGGGCACCATCTGTCACAATCAAAGAAGACACAATCCTAAGAAGCAAGTCAGTCAACAGAGCAATCACAGAGGTTATACAAACATCCACTTATAAAGTCTGCAGGGAATTGTAGCATTTGTTCTTTCCTCCCCCAAGTCAAAATTTATTCAGAAGCCTGATATGACCTTGCAGATTCTGTTAAGGATTTTTATTTTCCACATCTACCTGTTCAACTGGCCTTTTGAATCTGTAATAGTTCAGAAAGATGTTAAACAGCCATTACTTCAAGCTATTTTTTTCTGTTCCATGGAAGCCACAAACCTGCATCAATTGTAATAAGAAGGAGGGGAACTCGAGATATGATGAGCTGGAGGTACCTTGGGGCACTTCATTATGAATATTTAGACAGTTTTCTTCTTGTTATGAAAATTATGGCAATCTGTTTCTCAGCATGAGTTTCTGATGAATTTTAGTATCACACAAACTTTTTATTGGTTAGGGGAGATGGGGAAAGTGTTAATTGTTTAAATCCTGATCATCTGAGTTTCACTTTGACTCAGAAAATACCAAGGTCCAGGAACATATTTTTGAATCACTGTAACTCTCCATCCTAATGTGAGCTTGTAAGTGAGATGCTAAGGAGACAGCTGTGCTGTAAGGAGCTGCCCTCTCTATACCCTGTGCAAGTGTCATTACAGTCTGACTGCAGAGTAGATGGAAGAAGGAAGATGGAAGGAGACTGCTTGCATTCCAAGCTCAGGGTAATTTCTAATAGCTGGTCAGTATACTTCACCTCCTAGCTGAACACAAATGTGATATCAAAATCCAGAAGCAGGAAAATGGTCCAAAGGAGGACATGTAGAGGACGCAGGTGCCACTAAATGCAAATCATGAAAGAACAAGTTTAGGGGCTGGAGATTTAGCTCAGTGGCATAAGCGCCTGTCTTGCAAGCAGGCAGTCGTGAGTTCGATCCCCGGTACTGACAAAAAGGAAAAAGACGACAAAAAAACAAAACAAAAAAAAAAACAAGTTTACTCTTGGCAATGAAAGCCAGAGGGAATGTGTGGAGGGTGAGGTTAAACTGCAGAAATGTTTGCCCTGGGATCCATAGAAGATGTCTGTCAGTAAATATCCCTCAAGGCTTCACTGACAGCGATAATTCTCCCTGATCTCCTACCCACTTAGAGGTATATTAACATCTTTATCCAATGATATCTCACATTCTTACCAAATTGTTCACATTTTCATTTTATCTCTCCCAGCTGTCTGCTCAATTCTTGGAATACGGAAACCTTTCACTCTTGAGTCCTCAAGCTTTTAGAATTGAATCAGGATGAGGATGCTGAAAGAAACCTCAAGGATTTCCTTTAGTATAGTCCTCTGGCTTAGTGGACAATAAGCAGGAAGGCCAGAGAATTCAAATTATTTATTTAAGGTCACACTGCTACATAATGACAACAGAGCTGATTATCTTAGGGCTCTAAGACAAAATACTCTACCCAGTCTACATAAATCCATGCTTCATTAGTAACCCATTGCCCCTCCACATATTTCTAGAGACTGAGGTACATGGACGTAGTTAGTAGATATTAATAGGACTAAACAATACATGAGCTTAAGCCAAGAATTTTCCATACACTTTAAGAAACTGAGCACTTGCAACTATGTTCATTTCAGGCCCAGAAAGTCCATGTGAAGCGCAAGAATTACTCTCTAAGACAACACTGTTCAATATGGTCACCACTAGGCACATGTATTTAGCACTCAAAATGTGACTCCTCCAAAATGAGATACGTCTTATCTGTAAAATACACATAGGAGTATAAAGATGTCACATGAACAGAAGAATGAAAGTACCTCTTAAAGTAATTTTATACAGATTACATGTCGAAAAGATAATATTTAGATATATCAAATAAAACACATTAAAGTCAATTTCAACTATTTCTTTTCTTTTTTAATGTGGCCACTAGAAATTTTTAAATTACATCTGAGGCTCTCATGATATTTCTATTGACTAGCACTGTTCTAAGACACTGCTAACCCTTTTCCTATCCACTTCCTTAATCCTTCCAAAAAGACTGGAATCTACCATCTGCAGAGGTTACTTAAATATCTGGACACATCCAGCAGTTGTGCATCGAGGAGGACACTGGGAAGTCAAGGGTGGGGATTTCTGGCTAAGTGGTCATGGTGAGAGTAATTAGGTCTCTCTAACCTGAAGGCTTGTGAATCCATAAAGTGCTTGACTTGCCATTCTCTAGAATCTTCCTGCCATCTAAACAATGCAAAGTTCTCAATATACATGGATAAACCTTAGCTCTGCTCAGGGGTGAAATACATGTGGCAGGAAAGAAGCACACTGCATAAAGGAGAAAAAAACCCCAAAGTGCTGAATCTAACTTGCGCCACCTATTCTTCCCACCAGCATCTAATGAAACACACTTGTGTGTACTTTTTTATGATGTGTTTGAAAAAGCTATGAAGTTTATATAAGGATTTAGAAAAAAATAAGGAACTCACTCTTTGTCCTGCTGTCCATCTCTGTTTTCGACAAGTCTGGAGTTGCTGTAGTTGGAGGTAACTTCTTCCCGATAGTCTGAGGAGGTAAAAATGATAACTTTATACATCAAGATGATGCTCTTCAGTAAGCAAGGAATAAATTCAAGATCATCATATGAGGGACCAGGGATACAGCTCAGTGGTGTAGCATCTGCCTGGCAAGCGCGCAGTCCTGAGTTCGATTTACGGCCCTACCCCTAAAAAAGATCATCAGGTCAGAAGCTAACTGTATCAACAGAGACACAGTACCTGGTCTACTGAGGGTGCTCTAAAGTAACTCTGGAGTGGAAGAACAGAAATAAGAAGATGAAATGAAAGAAAAAAATACCGACACAAAGAGCCACAAGGACAGATGGATATGCAGGTGGATAGGCAGGCAGAAGCCAGGAAGCCCAGGGCAAATAAGTCTTACTGTGACACCTCAGAGTCATCTAAGAATCATCTAGAATCATCTTAGAATCAGTTAAGATTCTACCACCTTCATCATGGGTATGAACAAATACACTCTCCTCCTCCAGGATGGGTCTACCAGCCAAAATGAAAACAAGGAAGGTCAGCAGGTCCTTCCCATTCTTTGGGGCCTCGAGAAGGTCCTATGCCTTGGGCCTCATGTATCTGCCAACTAGTTAAAACACGAAAAGACTGTTAGTTTGCTTTGATTCACTTCCTTTCTTTTACTTGAATCTAATTCTATTATCATTCACTGTTAAGAACCCTTCATAGAGAAGACCAGATGTTGTCTCTGTTCAGAGATGTTCTTAAAACTAAGACTGCTCAACAGTTCCAAACTAAACCAAACAAAAACAGAGTGAAACAAAACCTACAAACCAACCAACTCGATGGTTCCAGAGATGGGGGCTGTTCCCACTCTTCTCCAGGTCACCATACTTGGGTGACCACGATTTAATGCGTTAGAAAAACATCTATTGATACTAGAGCAATAACATCATGACCAAACTGCTGGGTAAAGGGACCTTGCCCACGATGAAGTGCTGTGCCAGGAAGAACTGCAGCCAGCAGGAAACAAACATTTTTTGCCTCTTGGACACATGAAGAGGAATGAGCTGCATAATTCAAAAACTGGCATAGTGAAATTTTTCTTTGAATAAAACAGATTCACCTCAGTTTTTAATTTGAAAAAGTCCTTCATGCTTGAAACAGTGAAACTAACATTAAATATGAATAAATCACAGGAAGAGGATAAGATAAATCAAATTTTTGGCTCTTCATGAATTTTTAAAAGCATTTGTGACAGAAAGCCTTTACGTTTTACACAGTGACATTTTTATTTAGTGCTGCCAGGCTTCTATATTGGATAAAAAATGAAACCCCAAATAATACGCCACTTATCAACTGCTGCTAAGCACTCAAACTAATAACAGTTTATGCTTCTAAGGAAACATCAGGGAAAGAAAAATGCTTGATGTTCTTCTGCCATAGGTCAAAAAAAATTTTTTTTGAGACAAGGTCTTACTATGTAGTTTAGACTAGCCTTGAACTCATTATGTAGCCCAGCCTGGCCTCAAATTCACAAGGATCTTCCTGCCTCAGACTCCAGAGTTCCAAAATTACAGGAATGCAACACCATGCCCAGCTTCATAAGGTCAAATGCAATGAAGAACTATTTGTAGAATTATCTTGAAATGTTAGGTACGGTCATAAAACTAGAAACACTCAAAGCATTTCATTTATATTCCTGTTCATACTTACAACAGCATCCCTGTTTTTGCTTTTTGGGACTAGAACAATGTACCACTACTCTTAATGTTTTAGGGAAAAGAAAACAAAAACAATTAGAACTTCACTCATTATTCTCAATGGAAGAAGAAAAACAGAAAAATGCAAAAGAGAACATTATTTCCAATTCTGACTTTGTTTGATTTCCTTAGAAAAAAGAGACATGCAATAGTTTAGGCTTTAAATCAGATGCCTTCCTTTGGGGAAACTTGTAGGTTGTATATTTTTATCCTTTCTTTGGTAACAAAAAAAGTACTGCCCTCACATCTGAGGTCCTTGTCTACCAGAATGACCAAGCTAAAAGACATCAGAAAAGACTACCAGTTAAACACATTTTGGCACAGAAAGAGACACAAAGCAATGATTACTCTGTTTTTCCCCCTATTTTAGAAATCACAGCTCACTGGCCTCTGTGTGGATCCCAGAAACAGGATGATGATGAAGTTGGTATTATACTCATCTTCTAGGGAATGCTGCACCTTAAATCTCTCCTTGCCCTGTGTGGGCCATGAGTACAAGTCTAAAGGACAACAAATTTCTCCCCTCTCAGCCTCATCCTGCAGGTGTTCCAGAGATGGAAATATTCTGGGCTTTGTCTCTTCTTTATAACTTAGAACTAGGCAAGTGTGCAACCAGCACCACCTGAGAACTTGTTAGCAAAGCAAATTCCCAGGCCCCACCCCAGACTTTCTTAATCAGAAACTTGGGGGATGGTGCCCGGCAGTGTCAGAGGGAAATCATCCTCCATAGGATTCTGATGCATGGTCAGCTTTGAGAACTATCGACCCAGATGTAGCAGAGATTCCAGGAGTATTAATCATGTGCAAAGCTTTGCTTGAACTAAAAACTAAGTAGTCTCCTACTTTATAAAACATCTTTTTCACTTTCCTCCTCTTCTTTTCCTTTTCCACCAAATCCCTTCTACCTTCTTTAGTATCACTGGCATTAGAACTTATCATTACTATGAAACTACACACATGTGTATGTCATGTATAACTGGAGATCAGCTATGATGATGAAGACCTTGGTAGAAAGAAAAATTAGAAATTCTCTTGTATACATCTCTCCTGCACTTCATAGGCAGAAAGAGAGGAAGTCAGGCCTGCCATGGCAACCACAGAGGATTGAAGATCTTCACTTGTGGCTTCCTCCACAGAATGCCAAAGTCTTGCCCTCCTGGGAACCATAAAGAAGATAGCTTATGCAGAATGTGTATCAGTCAGGTGCCTATAGGCTGTGTTGATCCTGCACAGGTCTTACCTCCTAAGAAATCAGCAAACAGGCCCATTTCACTATGTGACTTTGGAAGGAACAGATTCTCAAGCTCCATGCACTAGCTAGGCACAAAATTTTGCCTTCCTTTGTGTGAAGTAGCTACAGACTTCTCAGCATATACATCCATATGTTGTCTTGTCCCCTAACCCAGAAGACACTACTTGCTATAGGAGTGTTTATGCCATAAAGGATGTATAGGGCCGAACACTTCAGAGTACCACCATGGATCTATTTCAAAATAGTCATCAACAGATTGCTATTACTTTCATCTCTCTTATATCACAATCTCAATTTTAAAACTAATTTTAAAAAATAAATAATTCATAAAATTCATTCTGAGATAGAAGAATTAAAAAAGAAAAAAGGAAACTCTTAATTCTAAGGCATGCTCAAAGTTACCCAAGATCATCTCTATCTGTAGTCTATATCTTTGTACTGTTAAGCTTGCTTATGCGGTAGGCTTGTTTGTTTGGTTTTTCAGGTTCGTCATACCCAAATCCATTAAAGATACCGTAACTCTATTGACTTTCATTGTGAATATGCTAATAAGGTAAAGGGCAGCAATCTGACTTTAAAATGAAGAAACAGATTTTACTGGGTTCAAAGAACATTTTTAGGCAAAACATCTTAAATACCCACCTTAAAAGACACCTCCAAAAACACATACATATCCCCAACCCCAGACCACAGTGGGCTCTATTTTCTCTGAGTGTGTAGTTCTTTAACTCAGCCTAATAAATCTATCTGTGTCTCTCACTGATGTGTCCTGAAATTTTTCTGGGATGAGTCTACTGAACCTACTTTGTGAGAGGAGCAAGTTCAAGTCTCCATCTCCTCTTTGGGGAACCTCTTCAGACTCCATCTGTTGACAATTTCTTTAAACATTTAACATTGGTCCCTTTCCCTTTAGCTCTCTTGCCAACAGTATTAAATAAATTTGGGGGGTTTTGTGTACAGTGAGAATTTCACACATATTCCTAGCTGTACAAGATCCAGTAACACAGCACCAGAATCCTGTTTAACTCAATAGCATAAAATCACTCCTCCAATTCTATTGTAATTCACATGCAAACTGCTTTACCTGTACATGGACGTGTCTAATTACAGGACAATGTTAATGAGAATGTTTAAATCCTGTTTCTGAAAGTCCCTCTCCAAAGATTATCACATACCATGCCACACAGAATCATAAAGACAGCAAGATCAGGTAGGGAGGGGAGAAAAAGGGAGTGCCCTGTATCCTACCAGCTAAAGCCCCACAGTCAGGCTTTCTTAAGCCGAGAAGCTTCTCAAGCTACTCAAACACTCACACAAAGCCAAACACAAAAGATGACCTTTCCAACAGCTGGTGATATCCATATTAAAGTATGACTCTTTAATGGAATTTTTTATGACACTAGCATCTGACCATTTCTATCCAGTATAGATTATGTGCCTGTTCAACAAGAAAGCAGCAGTATATTGACCATCACTGTGAATACTGAAATACCCCCAAGATCCTGGCTCTCTATGGTGGTGTATTGTTACCACAAATCCTGCTTATCTAAAGGAAATGGAAGATATAAGGTACTGGACACAGTGATGGGACAAGGAACACAACAGTATCTACATATGACTATATGTACAACTTTTCAGGTTTTGTTTTCCAGTTACTTATAAAAATACTCAAACTGCTATTAAAAACTCCCTGTAAATTTTATATTTATCCTGACACGCACCCTTCATGAACACCTACAACTGAAGACATTATGAAAAGTCTTTCTAGCTTCCAGCAAGAAATCGTAGGACCACAGTAGAAGCTCCACGAGCCAACTCACCTTGGACCCAGAAAAGAACTAGCACAAAGAAATGTCTTTACAATGGAATGCCTTGTGTGATCCCACTGGAAAGCTGCACATTTACATTACCAACTGTCAAATTCCCTGCATTTGATGAGCCCAACTTAATCTGTATGGTACTGGCAGAAGATATACCACAGCAAAACGTAACTCTAAATTCTAAAAATAAGCATTCTGGAAGCTGATA